CCCCCCCGCCGCGGTTTTTGCTGGAAGCGGAGCGGTGCCTGCAGTCTAAGCCATTGTCACTCACCCCCGCGACAGGAAGACCCGACCACCACCGTAAGCGATGGGAACTCCGCTTATCGCACTGGGGAAGGCGCTGACGACGTGCTGGCAGCGAGCCTTAGCCAGGCAGCACCCGCGCCGCGCAGCGCACGCCTTCCCCACCAACGGTGCCGGGGTGGGTGCAGGTCCCACCTAGCCATGCCCAACGGCTCTGAACACTCCCAGCTCCGGCCCTTCCCAGGCGGGGAGAGGCTGGAGGCTATTTGCCCAAAGAGCGGCTGTTGAATAAAAGGGGAAATAAAATTCCCAGCGAGCCAGATCGCAGAGGTCAGACATCAGCAAGAGCTATTTCGGAGAGCCCCGCTCTGCCAACAGACTCCAGCAGAGCAGCTGCCAGACTCCGTGACAGCAGCTGTTTATGTGAAATGTCACCGTAACGTCGAACAACCAAAATCCCTGCTGGCGAATGACGCACCAGGGTGTTCTCGCTGACGCGTCGCCGTACGGCAGGCGGGAGCGCGGCCAGCGATATGAATTATGTCAGATTACGAGAGAAGCCAGAGCACCCGTCCTCCCAGATTAGGTGTTCCCGCGCACGCTCGGACACCGTCAGCACCGAGGGCTCCAAGAGATGCTCCCGATTTGGTCGCTGCCGGGTTTGAACGGCTTCACTTAATCCCCATTCTCGCTGACGCGTCGCCGTACGGCAGGCGGGAGCGCGGCCAGCGATATGAATTATGTCAGATTACGAGAGAAGCCAGAGCACCCGTCCTCCCAGATTAGGTGTTCCCGCGCACGCTCGGACACCGTCAGCACCGAGGGCTCCAAGAGATGCTCCCGATTTGGTCGCTGCCGGGTTTGAACGGCTTCACTTAATCCCCACCCTCCCCCTTGCTCCGTGTGCTCCCGCTCCACCTGCCACTTCCAAACTCTTCCTCCCTTTCTCTCCCCCCGCCCCAGCTTCTGTCTGATGAGCCTTGTGTGTCTCGGCCGGTTTTATTTAGACCACGAGCTACCCAGGGAAGGAAATACGTGCTGCTGCGTGGCTCTGCAGCAGCCGGTGCTCTTCAGGTGGGATCTAAGAGCCACTGGGGCAGAATCAAGCCATGGGGTCAACAAGCATCCCTGCAGACGGTGCAGGCACAGCATCTCTCTCCTTAGGGCTAAATTTTAGAAGAAAGGTCCCCCAGCCCCATCTTCAACACAAGATGAGGACCTGGTTTTGAGAGCACTGTTAAAAGACAGGTTGGAAGCATTCCCACGCAGCGTCAGGAAATAAACCCCAGATTAGCAGGAATTGTTCGAGAAGTTTCAGCCCAGTCACACGGGATGTGGACACACTGAGACAGGGCGAGTTGGAAACCATCCCAGGCAGGGAAGCACCTTCCAGCTCCCAGCTGGAAAAACTCCGCTCGAGCACAAAGTCCCAAACCTCTGTTCCCCAGACCCAACACAACAGCATCTGCGGAGGACAGCGGCAAGAACAAGGGTGCTTTGCACAGGTGGGGACCCAAAACAAAAACAACCTCCGAGGCCACTGAGAACCCCTGAAAACTTGTCGGCTGTCTACACAAAACAGATAAATTCCCTTTTTGAGGCTTCTTCCTTGTACTGTGTTAAGGCAGATGAAAACCAGCTGCCCTCGGTCCCTCTCCAAGCAGAGCATTAAGCCTTTGCCTCGGTAGAACAATGCAGGAATGTAATTTGCTCAGTTTAGGTAACGGCTTCTCATTATTTCCTGCTCTGCAGAGCAAGTCGAACACACACGCCTTGTCCCCAGCTCCAGGCACACCTGAAAGACAGGACGTTCGGTGGCATCGGGACAAACACTGCTTTAACCTCATCCTCTTCTCAGCCCTGCGCGTTGGCGTTTGCTTCCCCCCCACGCAGGAGCCCAACTTTCTAACCCGGCTACAGAGGGGTAGGGGAGGCAACACGAGCGGTTGCTTTTGTAGACTGTCTGACCCAAATTCAGGGAACAATTCCTACTTTGAGGCGCTTCCCGAAGGGTTTAAAAATAGATGCTCTGCCGCAGCCCTTCACAACGCGGCCATTTAGCACAAGCAATTTTAGCTGCAGCCTGCCCCGTAGGCAGCGCGGGCGGGAGCAGACGGCTGATCCGCGCTGCCGTTGTGCCCCTTCCCTTGGCCGGGCGCCCGTCGCTAAACAGGAGCCCGTGTCCACCGCCCCTTCAAGGCAAACACTGAACTCACAGAAAGGGCAGCTGGAAGAAGCCAAGCTGTAACAGCTGAAAGCCCAGAGGAGCTGCCCCACTCACGGCTACGCCATGCAGCCGGCGCGGCTGGTTTCGGGACCCAGCCAAAACCTCGCAACAGATGGTGCATTATTCCTCGGGATGCTCTTCCCTGTATCCCACTTGCGAGCGAGGGGATGCTAGCACCTCTCTAAAATTAGGTCACTTTGGCACCATCGTCTTTTTCACGTGGGGTGCGCAGGTCCCTTCCTCTGCTTTGGCTCGAGGTGGGGAGCGCTGAGCATCCGAAGGAAGGAGGAGGTGATCAGAGAGGCACCGGGAGCAACGAGCTCCCCGGCCAGAGGAGTTGAAAGCAGCAGGAAGATGCTGCTCACGTTTCGGCAAGCTCTCCTCGGTTTCAGGTGTCCATCCGTTGGCCTCTCACGATATCTGCATGCCCAGGGGCAACGAAACACCAGTGCAGGCGCCCCACAGAGCCGCGTCAGGAGCTCCTTGCCGGGGAAGACCGAAATCATATTGCCTTCGAGTTGGGATTTGACGTGATTTGGAGAAAGTTATCAGCTGACAGTCAGCTGAGGAAGCCTCTGCTGTTGTTTTCAAGGGTTCAAGAGGAGCACTAGCGCAGCCTCCCTTTAAACGCATCAGGCCCTTGATACTGGTGCCAGGTAAACATCTGGGAGCGATCAGAAACGAGTGAGTCAGCAGAAACCGACTCCTCAATACGCCGCAAAGCCTGTCCAAACTGGGGACAACGGGGAGGCCTTCTTCTGGGGTCTGAGGAAGTTAGAAAGCGGCACGGGATTTTGGAAAAGATTATTTTTAGAAAGTTACGTCCCCAGCTAATGGATGGTGTCTGCATTTCACAGAAAGCAGAAGAGTTGGTGGCATTTGAAGCCTGGCATGCAGCGCTGCCCGCTAAAGCCATGTGCAGCCTGACTTCCGTACTTCACGGTGTCCTCACTTCACCTTGTTCCTTACAGCTACTGATCGTGAACTGCCTCACTGGTAAAGTACACCAGTGGGTCTCCACTCCTTGGTTACGGATGACACTTGCAGCCAAAACATCCCGGGACCTGTGGCGTTACACATGGAACAAGCTGACAAGGTAGGAAAATGCAAGAGTTATGGGGGATACCAGCAAAGCGTCTGGGACGGCAAGGCAGGGAGATCCTGCTTCTAAGCTGTGCAAAGAGATCCAGCGACAGAGCCACAACATCCCTCGTGCACTAAACCCCAGGTCGTCCACGTAACCAAGATGCACGCATTTCAAGCTTTGAAGAACTGTGTTGGCTTCAAAAAGAAAAGCGGGATGACAAGTTCCTTGACGCAGGACGGAACGTTGCCTGCACAGAACACACTATGCATTCAGCATCTTCAAGGCCACGGGCCAAAACATCTGGATCCTCCATTACAATCCACTCCCACAGAACTGAAGTGGGTGAGTTTCTACGCAAAACCACACGGAAAACCCACTGGTAACAGACACAACATGTGGCGACACTGTGAAATTCCTTTCGGAGAGGACTTTAGAGCAGAGTTGCATAAACACAGGCTTCCTGGAGCAGACTAGATGTGCCCATCAGCTATTAGGGACTGCCACAGCATCCCTTTGGTATTATCTATTTGTGTAGAAATCCACTCCTGTCCTGGCAGACTCCTCCCATTCATTCAAGATTAATGTTTATTACTCTCGCATTCACCTCTGCAAAGGGAAATTCAGCCAGTGTTGTGCTATTTCATACCATGCAGGCAACTTTTTGGAGAAGTTACTAAACTTATACCTTCTTAGAGACATTTCTTGCACACACACATACACCACCACCCCACCCCCCCCCGACCACATTCCAGAAGCAGGGACCAAAGTTTACACTCACCTCGCCGAGTACTTCCAAACCCCCAGGAAACGGCAGCTCCTCCAAGCCTGCTTATGGAAAACGAATTATAGATCTGAAATATTTAAACGAGGAGGAAGGGGAAAAGGATGGAGAGGAGCCTCGGGAGGCGCCAGGAGTGCCAGGTCTCGGCGCAGCAGCTCGTACCAACTGCAGTCCCGCAGAGCTCCCCAGTGGTATTTATGCTCTCCAGGCAAAGAGGACAACCCTGGATCATCCTGTTTGGCAGCGGGCCTGCGGTAATACCGAAAAGAAGCGGGGGGGGGGGGGGGGGGGGACCAAGGAAAGGAGGCAGGAGCAAAGAGCAGAGAGGGGTGTCGCTTGGGATCTCGGCAGTTGGACGATAGTCATTGGGGCTCAGCAAGTCAGGACCACCCTCCCGAAGGCTGTAACGCAACACCCGAGAGCGGGGAGAGGAGGAGGGCGCAGCCGGAGGCGATATAAAAGGGTTT